TAGAATTAAGGCAGTTCTGAAGGCGAAAGGGGGTCAAACACCGTATTAGTATGGTGTTCCTAATAATCCTTTAGGTGAGTGTATATTCAGTTGTTGAGAATAGTGTTGTAACCACGTTTTGGCCTATACAGGCCGGGTCTTTTCTTTTGTATGGTTTCCTGTCTTCTGTGAAGCACAAAGTTTGCACATGCACTCTTCCGCTGTGATCACTTCAGTTCTTTAGAGGTGGAGGTAGATCCCAGTGGTTGTGGCGAGCCAACCTAATTGGAGATAAGAACTGTGATGTTATCAGTTTGGTAGATATATGTATATTTCATGCATTGAAGGACATTTTGTTTATTTCTTTTGTTTGTTTTTTTTTCTGTTAATACAACATATGTAAAATTTACCTGTAGTTTGTCTGCGTTCTTGCTCTTCCGCTCAATGCAAATTTTGATGCTCCTTTCTCCAGTGGCGAATCTAAACTTTTGATGTGCTGGTCCAGGAAGTAAACACTTAGTAGTATAGGTACTTGTATGCTCTAGCAATCACTATTAGTAGTGAGAGCTGAGGTGGGCTACACTCGGGTTTACGTAACACTGTGGATGGGATCCTGGTCCACCGTCGGACATGTGGATGCACACTTAATGGGAACAGTGTGTGTTTTTGGGCCAAGGGATAAAGCCGGAGGAGGCACCTGGAGGAACCACCAGGACCCAGAGCAGCTGCTGGGCACCCCCAGGGGTGTGGGCTGCCCCCAGGGGTGTGGGCTGCCCCCAACCGAGCCGCCGTGCAGCCAATCCCCATTACCTTCTTCTTGGTATTTTTTTTTAGGAAATTGGAGTAAAAGTCATAACAAGTTACAGCGTGAGGACTCCTGGGCCGTGTGTATTGTATCAACCTGGTAATATTTCTAAAGTTTTAATTAAATTTTGGGAAAAATGTTTTCCTGTTGTAATAGTGGTTCATCTCTTCCACAGTTTATAAATTGAAAGCTTTTGTATTTTATTACCCCATTACCTCCTGTCAGGCATCCACCATAAAGTGTACCTTGTATCACCAGAACATCTTGGGGAGAAGGGCATGGTCAGCTTGGTTGGCCAACCCGGTCCCCTTGACTCCTCCGACTCGCTTGCCTGGGATGCTGATGACATTGAGGGTTTCGCAGTAGAATCGCCGGTGCAGACCGTCCGCACCTACTTCCCAGAGACGTGGATCTGGGACCTGGTGCCAGTTGGGTACGCCCCGCCGGGGATGGGTTGGGAATATCTCATCATTCTACCACCTACCAGGCTGTTTATCTGAAGTGTTTATGCAGCTGTACATTTCACACTATAAGTCAACCTACAATGACATTTGTATTATAAATGTTCAGAAAACAAGCATACGTAAACCCTAATTGATAAAATAACACAAGTGTACCTGCATATAGACAGAACCATATACAGAGCCTTTCAATGGCTTTTCAATGGCTTTGTACACTGCAGGCAAAGCCACAGAATGGACGATTTATGGTACATTACTTCAGGAGAATTTATCTGAATTTATCTGAAGCGGCATTCAGCTGTGTCAGCAAGTTCCTGGAGCAGTTGGGTTTAGGGGCCTAAATGTGAAATCACAGTACAGTAAAACCTCGGATTGTGAGCATAATCCGTTCCAGAAACGTACTCGTAATCCAAAGCACTTGTATATCAAAGCAAATTTTCCCATTAGAAATAATAGAAACTCAGATCATTCGTTCCACAACCCAAAAAATATCGATTACCCACAATCCCGCAGCAAGAAAGAGAGAGAGAGAGAGAAGAACCATCGGCTCAGCTGTAATTACGTGACGCTTGGCAGACAAAGCGTATACATAATACTCGTATTGCAAGACCTCGCTCATTTATCAAGTTCAAATTTATTAAAATTTTTTCCTTGTCTTGCAAAACACTCGCAAACCAAGTTACTCGCAATCTGAGGTTTGACTGTACCAGCCATGGGATTCAAACTGGCAACCTTCCGCTCAGCACTCAGCCCTAACCAGATTAGTACATACAGCCCCCTTGTGTGAACTCCAGAGAAGGAGGATGGGGAACAAGAACATTTCTGCAACAGGGCCTTGCTTGGAATTTACATTTGGGTGCAGTTTGTTTGGCTGGATCCTCCATGTCAGTTCTGTGTCAGACTGTAGTGCACCTGTGTGAGAGGTGCCTCCCCCTCCCTACACAGAGACTCGGGCTCCGTGAATGTGACGCACACCATTCCAGACACCATCACCAAATGGGTGGCGGGGGCTTTCTGCACCTCCCCAGTGGGCTTTGGCCTGGCCCCCAGCGCCCAGCTCACTGCCTACCAGCCCTTCTTCGTGAGCCTGACGTTGCCTTACTCTGTCGTCCGGGGTGAGGTGTTCACCCTGAAAGCCTCCGTGTTCAGCTACCTCCCCAGATGTATCATGGTGAGTGCACCCAGCATGGCCTCTTTTGGGCAAGAAGGACGAAGAGCAGCGTATAAGCGTATAAATGGGTAATAAAAAAGAACCTTTGTTATATGATGTTCAGAGCTTCCCTCTCTTTTCCCACTCTTATTTTAGAGTGTTAGTAATTCTCGCACCAACTCTCTCGCATTCACAAGTGAGATGCACACAGGGGTGTAATCCCTACTGCTGTCACAGCTGCCGATAGTAAACTGTGTGTCTTGACGTTTAGGTTCAGGTGATCCTGGCGGAGTCGGATGAATTCACGGCCCAAGCCTGCGAAGGGTGCAAGTACAAGCACTGTGTGTGTGAAGAAGAGGCAAGGACCTTTAGGTGGATCCTGAAACCTGCTGCTCTAGGTCTCTATCCGTCTCTATGTCCATCATGTGGAGGACACACTGCTGACTGCATGCTCTGCTGCAATCTGCACCACAGTCTGCACAAATCATTTGCTCATAGGAGATCCCAGTTTAATGGAAGCTTTCATTGATAACCCACCTGTCAGCATGGCTGAGCCCCTGACTGACTGACTATTCACTTTAAAAAAATGAAATCCAAACAGTTATTTGGAGAACAGGATGACAAGTGAATGTGCCTTCCGCCGACTCTCTCCACCAGGTGAGGTGACCATTGCAGTGAGTGCAGAGGCCCTGAGGACACAGGAGCTTTGTGGAAACGAGGTGGTGACCGTGCCCGAGAGGGGGCGTACAGACACGGTCATCAGGAAGCTGCTGGTGGAGGTTGGCATGCTGCTTCCATGATGTCAGACCTGGACTCTGACCTCTGCTCTCTACGATTTACTTTGCTGACGCTGCTACCATCATGTACAGAATATAGAATTTTAAGGCCTTGAATAGTCTTCATTAGGTGGCACGGTGGTGCAGTGGTTAGCACTGAGACCTCACTCCCCAGGCTCCAGGGTTTGAAGCTCTGCCATGGTTCCATGTGTGTGGAATTTGGATGTTCTCCCTGTGTCATCGTGAGGTTTCCTCCGGGTACTCCGCTTTCCCAACATAATTCAGAAACATGCTGAGGTTAATTGGAGTTACCAAACCCGTAGGCATGCGTGGGTGAGTGAATGGTATGTGATTGTGCCCTGTGATGGGTTGGCACCCCATCCTGGGTTGTTCCCTGCCTTGTGCCCTGTGATGGGTTGGCACCCCATCCTGGGTTGTTCCCTGCCTTGTGACCATAAGTGTTTATGTGTGTGTGTGCCCTGTGATGGGTTGGCACCCCATCCTGGGTTGTTCCCTGCCTTGTGACCATAAGTGTTTATGTGTGTGTGTGCCCTGTGATGGGTTGGCACCCCATCCTGGGTTGT